AAATCCTGATTTAAAATGTCAATATCATAATTTCATGCGTGAATATGAAACCCTCAATCACATGACAAAAATTGATGAATCGGATATTTTTCCAAATAACGACAATTTAATTTATTATTTACCTCATCACGGAGTTGTTCGAGAAGATAGTTTAACAACCAAACTCAGAGTTGTTTTCAACGGATCATTCATAACTAATAGCGGTGTATCTCTTAATGATATTTTACTCGTCGGTCCTCAATTGCAAGACGATTTATTTAGTATCATCACTCGATTTAGAAAGCATGAAATTGTAATAATCGCAGACGTGGAGAAAATGTATAGGATGGTGGATGTTACAGAATCGCATCGTGATATGCAACGTATTATTTGGCGTTATGACACTACTCAACCTCTTAATCATTATCGTTTAAACACATTGACATACGGAACAGCCCCAGCAAGCTTTTTAGCCATACGATGTTTACAAGAATGTGCCCTCAAAAACATTAAAGAATTTCCTGAGGCTGCTAATACCATATTAAGCGATTTCTATGTAGATGATCTAATAACAGGCTCAAATTCAATTGACAATGCAATCAAAATGAAACAAGAAATTTCGAAAATTCTAAGTAGTCGTGGATTTATATTACGAAAATGGGCATCTAACGAATCGTCAATTTTTAGGCAAAAATCAGATCTCGAAAATAATTCACAATACTTTATAACTGATAGCACTAGTCATAAAACGTTAGGTTTACAGTGGCATTCCCACACTGACACTTTTAATTTTATTATAAATTCTCCCACGGTCGATGATAAAATCACTAAGAGAAGTATTATTTCTACGATATCTCAAATTTTTGACCCGATGGGTCTAATAGGCCCAATTACAATTAAAGCTAAAATTATTTTGCAACGTTTATGGCAATTAAAGTTAGATTGGGATGATTCAGTTCCATCTTTTTTAGAAACCGAGTTTACACATTTCAAAAACCAATTATCTTTGTTATCTAAAATATCGATTCCTAGACATGTTATTTTATCTAATTCAATTTTCATTGAAATGCATGGCTTTAGTGATGTATCACAGCATGCATATGGAACTTGTATATACATTGTCTCGCATGACTCGCTCGGTAATTTTTCAGCAAATTTATTATGCGCAAAATCTCGCGTAGCACCACTTAAAGTTTTATCTTTGCCTCGTTTGGAACTTTGTGGAGCTCTTCTACTAGCTCAATTAGCAGAAAAAGCGGAGAAATCCTTAAAAATTAATTTACAGGACAAGTTGTATTGGTGCGATTCAAGTATAGTTTTGAGTTGGTTACAATCAGAACCTATTAATTGGCAAGTTTTCGTTGCCAACAGAGTATCGGAAATTCAGCGATTAACTAACATTAAAAGGTGGCATCATATTAGTAGCAAAAATAATCCTGCTGACGTCATTTCACGAGGAATGGATCCTGAAAATTTATCAGAATGCAAATTATGGTGGTCAGGACCTTCTTTTCTCACTAAAGAAAAACA